AGTAAACCACAGACTTTCCATGCTACAGTTTGTGTTTCAGTATCAAATAAAAAGAAACAACTAGTGTTACAAAGAGAAAAAAGAGACATTTTCTTATGAAAGAGAGGGTTGGGTAGCTCTTATTATTTGAATTGTGGTTCCTATAAGAAGCTTTCTCATCCCTTGAAAGAAAAACTTCAATTGTTTTGCCCCATTACCAAAGAACAAACATTTTGGTGGGGATGCTGGAGCCTCCCCAGAGAGGTGGGGAGGGGGCAGGAACAACCAGCTGCGTCACAGCCACCATGGGCAAACAGATGAGCAACCAGCCTGCCGATTTAATAGCCCACAGTGGCAGAAAAAGGAGGATTAACAGAGGCAGCACAATCGTTAGCACACTTCTATGAGAAATTAAAAAAAATAAAATTATTTAAGTGGAGGGCTGGGAGGAGACTAATGATCCGCCACCAGATTTGCAGCATCTCCCACTTCAAATGAAATCTGCTCGACTTGGAGATACAAAGTGGTATTTCCCATCCTCAGCCGAACAGTTCACCTTGAGTCCCTGAGCCGATGAATCCCTGCACAGCCTCTGCAATCAAAACATAGCAATTTTAGCGATAAGCAAAAGTAAACCCTTTATTCTGCTCCCAAGGCCATGCTGGCTCTGCCCAGCTAAGAGATATAAAACATTATATTCTCCACTAAAATAGGCAAGCAAAAATGTACCAAGTGGATACAGTCTATGCACAATTTTTAATACAGGAATTTAAAGACACTTCTACATTGATTTCTTTTAAGAAAGTGTGGGGGAGGTACTATTTGTTTTACTTTTTCTTTTTTTTTTTTAACCTTTCCTCCTTTCCTAATGTATTTTGTGCATCAAAGCAGTTTTAGGGTTAGAGATGCTTGGGGTAGAAGCAATACAGCAGATAAAAATGTCAGTGGCAAGATACGACAAATTTATAGTAAATACCTGTCAACTGCTATTTATCTAAATTATCCAGCTCTGGGATTCTCCAGAAATACTTCATCAGCTAGGAGGCAGCTACAGTTTTAGACCTGTATTTACATCAGAATCTGCTCTCTTTTTCTTTTTTTTCTTTCTTTTTTTTTTTTTTTTGGACACTTGTTCTTTACCCTAAAATGACCCCTTTGTAGCTCGGATCAAAGAGCTGGGAGTGTCAATACCAGTGTCTTCATGAACATGTTAAGAACCTCAAAGTAATTGGTAACCAATTAGCATAAAGCTAAAGAAACCCACCTAGCTAAGGCAAACCTTAAATGAGTACTAACAGGCAACAGCACTGGATGAAGCAGGAGCTTAAGCGACTTAAATCATCATCAGCTGCCTTTCAGACAACTTCTTGGGAGCACCCTCTGTGCAAACCACTCTGGGTTTTTTGGCTTTTTTTTTTTTTCTTTTAATTCGTTTCTGCTCTTCGTTCACTCTTTGCTTTCTGCCTTCCTACAGCTTACAGGAAACATGAAACAAAAACTGCTTTTCATTTTCTGTTATGTAAAGCAAAGCAATTCCATGTCTTGGCCTTGAAATACAAGGCACCCAACAGCTGTTCAGATGCTCCAGCAGATAAACCATCTGGCCCAAACCTCACCTTTCCTAATTTATTTTGGATATCGATCAAAGCAACTTGAGCATTACATAGACTTTGGTCAAAGACAACATAAAAGATAAAAACGTCAATGGCAAAATCACTTCACTGAAATATTCTTGTTTCTTCTTTATATAATAATATTACCATTTTCAACAAACTTCTCTGTTAACTCAAGGAAAAGATATACCTGATACCAACAGCCTAGCAGCCTAACCACACTGCAAATGAATGTCCTCAAATAGCACATTGCTGCTGAACAGAAACTAAGTGGGGTTTAGTGTTTAAGATCAGCTAAAACTAGACACAGACTTTGGCCGACTGGCCAAGACGACCAGGACTGGCCCCAAGACTTACATGTCCTGGCTCTGCTGCCAGCAGCCCCCCTTAACCCTTTTATATGATGCTCCTGGCATCTGAAGAATCACCATATCCATGGTTCCAGCTGTCTTTTTAAAATTTTCCTAGGAAAAGGACAGCATACATTTGTTTAATATTACCAGGATTCCCACCAATACACCAAGGTTGTTCAGTGGTTACTGATTCGCAGGTTTGAAACCAAACCTATCATCTGAAAAGCTTTATTTCATGCAATTCACAGTGTATTTACTGCATGCAGAAACCACAGGCAGGGTAAGGACTTGCTGCTGTAGGCACCATTTAGGGACATAAACCCAAATCATGAAATCGAAGGGTTAGTTGAGCAAAGAATGGCTATCCATGTGTACAACGCCATGTATAATACACAAATACGCTCTTGTGATGTTTTGTTCGGTATCTGCAGATATTCAAAGCCTCCCCTACGCCCAGTTCTTCCTCAAGACACCCTCGGCCAGCCCGTTTCTCACAAGAAAAGGAATCTCCGATGAATAGTCCCATAAAGCATCCCACCAGAGCCTGTCCTCCCCGGAGCTGCCACCACGCCAAGGTCCAAGTCTCAATTAACCCCCGCCTGACCTTCCTTCACTTTCTTTCCCCCTCCTCTGCCCTTCCTGAGAAAGTTCAGCATTTCCTGGAAAAGTCTCCTTGCCTGTTTGATATTGTACTTCGCCTTGGTTGCTGAAGGAAGGATTTACAGGTGCCTGGCCCCCTCTGTAAGACCATGACCGAAGGCTGACCTCCCGTTACAATATGTGAACTTCTGCCCTGCTGATAAGGCTGGCAGATATGAGTAGGATTTTTCAAATAATCCTTTGGGAATTTATAAGCAGCACAGCCATAAAACCGAGGTGACTGGAAGGTCGATTTCACTAAAAATAATAAATATCTCAATGTTTATTCAACGTGGGCCTTTTTAACTGCAGGCCAAGCATTTAGATAACGCTATTGTAAATGACAAATATTAGGATTTTTTGGTAACTATTACATTATGATCCTTCCGTCTGACACTGATGTGGCCATTTCCCTCGATGCTTGCTGGATCTCTGACATTGTTCAACCCAAGTTGGGCCTAGAAAGCTAGGGCAGGATTCAATCACAGGTCAGGAAAAGGGCAGTTTTCTTTTCAGAAGCCTTTCCTACCGTTGGTTACCTTTTTTCTCTTGTTCCCGTCTCACCAACACACTTTCTTTAGAGTTCTGATGTATCTTTTTTCTCATTACTAGGGCTTTTGGCTGAAATAGAGAAGGAGCAGGGGGAGAAGGACTGAATGATCTCAGCTCAGGATGGGGACACAGGATGCTAACCCACCGGCATGAAACTCCTGCACCAGGTCTAACTTCACCATCACCAAGTCCACTCCACTATTCCCACCTCCAGCAGAAGACAACCCTATCCAGACCCACCACAGGGTGCTGGCCAGGAAACCTGTCTTCTAGGAGCAGCAATTCCAACACGCTTTGAATGACCAATTGCTATTTCAGATTAAAAAGTAAAGCAACAAGACAACAAACAAAGCCCCAATGTAGAAACGAGATCATTTCAAATGCGCGAAACTGTTATATCCACTAGTGAAAGCTCTTCATCCTTTTCATAACAGCTTTATGTATAAATACACAATTAAATAAATGCCCTTGCATTAAACAAATGTACATAAGCTACACAAATAGGATTCCTAATCCTGTTTTCATTATACATATTCTTCACTGAAGTTTCTCCAAATAAAATGACACTTTGAAATCCACAAAGCATTTCAGACCAGTTGTAATCTTCAATTAGCACACTCTCTGAACCAGGCTCCCAGCGCCGGGTTTGAGGAGGAGGTTTTTGTCCAAGATAAACAGAGTAACACATTTTGGATACGTTAACTTTTTCATTCCAATAAAATATCATGGAAATGTAGCCAAATTACATAATTATTAACAGATGAGGGCACAAAAAGATTTTATATAAAATGTTTTTTATGACAATTCTTTGCCTTTCACAAATTCATTTGTACGTATTGCTGGAGAAAATGGCTTTAGAAGTGCCTTAAAAAACAATTCTCTCACAAGCCTGGCTCAGCTGTGGAAAGGGAGGAAAGCTGCGAACAGAGTGCTCCTTTCATCTGCTGCCTGGGCTTTAGATTGCTCAACCACAGGAGAAGAGCCCTCTGAAAGCTCCGTCTCTCCAAAGGACATTAATGAACAGATGCAAGCAACACAGGTTCTTTGGGTCTGCAGATTCAAGGCTCATACACTGCTGGAGGCATCTTAGAAATTAAAAGTTGAAGGGTAAGCTACAAAGGGCATCTTATCTGCCCTTGTTATAAATAAGTAAGTAAAAAAATCAATACCTTATGTACTTATAATGCCTAGGAGAAAACATAGCTCATCTAGCAGCCTACATCTGCAGAGATGGGAGCTCTCTTGAAAAGTACTCAAGAACACGACATGGTTCAGAGTAACACTTTTTAGCCGATAACCAAACATTAACACAGAAAAGTTTCAGTTTGACCGTATTTTTCAGTGCACGCAAAGTGTAACCATTGGGAAATTGGTAGCGATACAGTCAAAAGGTGGATTTGGTGGGACGGCAGCAAACCTGCTCCTGTCAAACAATGTTTGAAGAGCTGGAAAGTTCTCCTAAGTGCAGCAAACAATACATTCAAAACCAATTTCTCTGTCCCCACCCGCAATTCTGCCATTTGCACTGAATAATGAAGCTACTGTGGTTAAAGAAGAATTGCTGGAGGAAAACTCTATGACCAAGAAACATGTATATTATAAACTCAGGGTCTGCAATAGTTGGAGAAAATATCCCTTTATATTTCTGTGGCCTGCATGAAGTAACTGTGTGGCTTTTACCCAAACACATCCATCCCTGGCCTACTTTCTACTTCAGGTAACCCACTTCCTAGCTAGGTGAACATTAATGTTTTGCAACCAACTCTTTCCAGTAGCATCTGCAGAAGGAGCAGCACCTCATCATCTTCTTTAAACCACAGACCAGTGTCAGCACCAGTCTCACAGGCAGCACAGAGTTACTTACCAGGACAGAGTATATGTGTAGGCATCGGTACACCGGTGAGAAGTCCACCAGGTCCTGGGCCCCAGGCACCTAAAAGACAGCAGGTAGTCAGTGTGAAATATGCAGAAAACATATAGGTAAGTGCAACTCTCAGATATCACATATAGGTAAGTGTAACTCCAATGCATGCGGGTTCAACAGAGCGACACCAAGATTTCAGGTATGTAACAATTATACTGATTATTGGCATCTACCTATATCTGACTATATTTACATTTTTTAAAGATTCTCAAAGTAGGAAAATTTCATTTCATACTGCTTTCACTCCATTTACACTCCCCTAGGAAATCACATTGCAGCATTTGGCCCTCTGTTAGGCAGCCTCACAGAGAGTTAATTTAACTGTAGGCTTAAATACCAGTTCAAGCCTCCTGGCATAAGCCATTCTGGTACTTATGCAACGGGGTAGGGAGAAGAACCCATCTTATTCTCTAGATTTCTAGTTTGATTTCTTTAAAAGCACAAAATCTTTTTTTTTTAAAAAAAAAAAAAAAAAAGGAAAAGAGAGGGCCACACAGACTCCACCACCTTTCAACAACACAGTGAGTCTTGCACAGGGACAAGGAAGCACATTTTTGAAGGGTGGGACAGCGGGAGGGAGGGTTAGAGGAAAGATCAGAGAAGAAATTTGCATACAAGAAGCTTGTGTCCTTTGGATATGTTCTAGCCAACACAGTATTAAGCTTGTTGGCCAAGGCATAAAGCTAAGGCAACCCTCCTTCTCCCCCAAAATTCAGACAGGAGGGGAGTGTTCTGTTGACATGTGGTGGAAAAAAGGGGAGAAAGATGAAAGGGACCAATGGACAGGCCTGGGAAACATGTTTATTTTATATATTTTTAATTATGCTAAAAAGGAGGTAGGATGAAGAAGAGAGAAGTTTCTAGCTGGATAAGGGTATGCCAGCATCAACCAAAGCTGCCCAAAGCACCTAGGGCGAGCAGTTGTCCTCATCTAAAGCAATGGCTTCAAGCAGAGGAGTGCAGAAGTTATGGGCTGGAAAGGAAAAATAGGGGAGTTTGTTAAACAGCCTCCTGTGTAATGTGGAACTGGAGATGTTAAAGAATCTCATTCATGCAAAGAAACTCAGTACTCAACACTACATAGATTCTTGCTAAGAGCTGAAACAACAGAAGAATCTATGGAGATGAACAGAGCAGCAACACATGGTGTGGGAACATTCCATCCTGCATCATCACCATTGCTCCAAGACCTCCCAAAACTTGACAGTCTCAACCTAGTGGTGCAGGGTGGGGAAGAAGCCAGCTCAGCGGGATCAAGGCAACAGAGAGTTTTGTACTGGAGTACGGCACAAGCCTGCTCATCCATCTCACTGGGCTTTCCCTCCCCGACCTTGCACCAAGCACTCCATCATGCCATTTGAGCAGCTCTTACAGATGCGCAAGGTTGGCTCACCAGGAAGAAGGAAGGTGTCCAAGTGAGTGGCATTGCCTGTGTGACCCTTTCTACGTTGAACCTGGCTGTTCAGCGTGCCCCAGCTGAACCGAGGGCAAGCAGCTGTGAAGCACAGCTCACCAGTCTCACTAACACCTCTTACCTTTTATAAGACTATATTTGACAACTGCAAACACTAGGCAGCAGTTTTATTGTGTTAATGCCAATTTTATCATGTCTTCCTGGTCATTTATTTTCCATTTTCAGTCTCCTGGGCCTTCTAACGCTCCCTAAATAGCTCCCAAATCCAGATTTCAGCTAGTTTGTGGATACAGATTTTGCCTTGCTGTATTCCTCCAGCATAGAGTGTAATTGGTCTCCAGTTGGTAAAACAGTAAAACACTTCTGGCTCAGAAATCCCCGATTGCAAAACTGCTGGAGATCACTAAAGCAGACAAGGAAGTATCGGTACTCGCTCAACCCAGCCGTCCTCTGACGACCACCATCAGTGTGGGGAAACTGGACTGGACGGACCCAAGTCCACCCTGTATTTTTCTAAGGGAGGAGAAATCTGTCATCCCTTTGCAACACCATCAAAGCAGGCAATGTTTTCCTATGAATTTGAATTCAGGATCAAACGGGTTTGCTCGTTTTGGATATGGGACACTAGTTGAACATGGTCCATAGAGAAATATTTCTGATAAAGATTTGTGAAATCAGGATATTGCCAAAAACAGAGTTTACTCCCCCAGAGAAATTCTTTCAAAGCAGACTGCAACATTTTCACAGTCTCTGATCTTCTGCAAAAACTTTTAAGCCCACACACACTCTCACAAAAAAATATACTGGACTGTTCTGCAGAATTAACATCTCGGAGACATTAATAGCTTTAAAATTGCTCATCTAGGTAGAACACTATCAGACGTGGAAGCGCAAGTCCTAGACCACAAGAAAGCTTCTGCAAACAGCAAGACATGCACCCAAAACCTGTGCTAGGATTTTATGCAGGGTATAAACCTACGATATTTTTTAAGGAAAAGAACAGACATATATAGCCATGTAATCCTATTGTTTGAAATCTTTCCAGACTACCAGTATAGACCTCTGAATATACAGAATATATGAAATTATCTCTGTGGCTAGTTTAACACGTTGCACAATTTAAACATATCTAATATTTACATATTTAGATATTTATCTAATATTTAGACATATCTAAAAATTGAGGCTTAGCACATCCCCTTTAGCAGTGACTTGATTTTCTTAGCCAAAGCTGTGCTACCCGTGTTCAAAAAAATAAATAAATCTTTGATTTTAAAACTCGATGATGAAATGAGAACTAGAGCCGCCTCAACAACAGGACCGATTACTCCCCTGATGTCTCCCCTTCAGCCTAATCTTTTTTTTCTTTTGATTTGCAGAACAAAGAATTTATTCATCTCATCCAAAATTTTCCCAGTCCATGAAAGATCAGCTTCACAAACCTCATTCCCAAACCCTGCATCTGGCATGTTCCTGGTGCTGGAAGCAGAGGCAGACCTGTCAGTCTCTGTAAACAGCCAAATCCTCTCTTTTTGCAGGAACATTTTCAGATGGGTTAAACACTACCTGTAGCAAATTTAACCCATGGAAGCCAAGTTTTCAATCGAAATATTCGGCTGTATCTGCCATAAACATAAGGCTGGCCCAGAGTTAAAGGACACCCTGATGTGGCTTCAGACAAATTTGCGATACAATGGCTTGAATCTCTGATCCTTGTTAGTTTTTGACATAAAGACATGACACAAGGACATATACATTTGCTCCTCTTTCAGTGAAGGAAAAAACCTCTAGACTTTAACACCAGGAATTCATGAGAGGTGTTTTATGAACCACCTCACGGCCCCATTGACTGACGTACATGGATGCACTGGTGCAGAGAAACATGAGCACACATGACACTGCATCCCTAAAGGCTTGAGTCCAACAGAGGACATTGAGCAGACTAGGTCTCTTCACATGACACACACGTTGCAGAAAGCATCCATTCACCCTTAGGGAGTAAAACTCTATGCTCAAAGTAACATTGGTTCTGTACTGCACCCAGCTCTGGAGTCCTCAGTACAAAAAAGATATGGACCTGTTGGAGCAGGTCCAGGAGACCACAGAAATGGTCCAAGGGCTGGAACACCTCTGCTATGAGGAGAGGCTGAGAGAATTGAAGTTGTTCAGCCTGGAAAAGAGAAAGCTTTGGGGAGACCTTATTGTGGCCTTTCAATACTTAAAGGGGGTTTATAAGAAAGGTGGAGACAGACTTTTTAGCAGAGCCTGTAGTGACAGGACAAGGGATAATTGTTTTAAACTGAAAGAGGAGAGATTCAGACTAGATACAAGAAAAACTTTTTACAATGAGGATGGTGAAACACCAGAACAGGTTGCCCAGAGAGGTGGTAGATGCCCCGTCCCTGGAAACATTCAAGGTCAGGTTGGATGGGGTACTGAATAACCTGACATAGTTGAAGATATCTCTGCCCATGGGAGGGGGGTTGGATTAGATGACGTTTAAAGGTCCCTTCCAACCCAAACTATTCTACAATTCAACAAATCACATCTAATCTCTTTGGGTACCAGCAGCCAGGAAGCACTTTATCCCATGCTGAATGGAGATATGAAACAAACTGTGCTGCAGATTTGCTACATCTTGTCTGGTCTTGGTGTCCTTTGACTGCCCCAGCATGTCCCATGGCTTAACCTTAGGGAAAAAAAACTGAATGCCTTTGCACAGTCAAGAGGATGCTCAGTATACTGTGATATCGGAAGTGGCCAGATGGTCCGGCAGACTAACTGATCTCACTCTGGCTCATGTTATAGACAACAGGCAGACAGCTTTGTCTGGAAATAGAGCAGTTTCTCTCAGTGTCCAAGACATTTTTTGCATATTTACTAGTGGAAGCAAACAAAAGGTGGAGGCTGATGGCACCTAACAAAGCCACTTATCAGGGAAAATCAAGAGAGCTCTCCGGGGGTCCCTGCTCTAGCTCCCAAAACTTTGTAAGAAATCTATTACACTCACTTAAACAATTACAGCTTACTTCTACAGCGAGGTCAACCTGAAAGAATGCCAGAAGTATGACGAATTTTGGCCACACCTCACACCTGCTGACGTCCCGAGTGCCAAACTTCTTCTCCAAATAGAAAACTCTCTGGATTTCGTTCATTTGTTCTTCAAAGACAGTTGAGTGGCCACTATCTTGAAGTGTGATGTCCTTCCTTAAAATTTCCCCTTCTCCCACAAAGGAGCACTAGGGAGTCCAACTCAACCAAACCACTTCATAGACACCTGACCAGTCTTTTCTGGGGACAAGAAGAAATGAGGGAAAATGCAGGCAAGTTTGTCCTGCTGTATTCAACAAAATCACATAAGACAAGTCACTGAAAATGAGAAGAATCTGTATGAGCTTTGTAGTTTTCTGGATTCTTTTTACTACAAAGGGAACAGCTGGCACAAACTGAACAGACTGTGGAGCTACTCACTGTGAAATGCAAATTCTTTTTCTGCAACTTGGCATTCAAAAAAACTGGATTTAAGCCTTCTCCCAGCTCACTTTACAGCCGTGCCCGCTTCCTCACTCTGATTGTAGTGGGAGCTTCCACCTCAGTGAGGCATTTGTACTTAAGTGGGACAATAATGTCTCCAAACTGGAGAGTACTAATGGAGTGGAGAACCACATCTCATTCATCTTCTTGAATGTAGCTGGCAGAGCTCTCTCTTAATCCAAGGGAATGATCTACACTAGAATACATGCAACTGTATAAGCAAAACTCTTCTGCTATTTCTTTCCTTTCAAAACTTTCCCTGTACGTTTTGCTGCAGGGATGAAGGGTTTGCCTCATATGGGTAAGGAATCACAGGTTCTCTAGAACAGTTCATCCAGACTAGGTGGAGAATGCCATAACACAGCCTGCTGAAGGGCCTCAGATATTTCTGGGGTGGGGGTGGGGAATCCCACTTTTTCCAGCCTATGTGCCAGGATCCAGCAGGATCCAGAGCTCTCCTGCCTAAACTTAAATCAGAAATACCTAGGACCATCCTGTTTTCAATTCTGAGTAGAGTGGGTGCAAGATGCCCTTCATTCCATGTTCAGTCAGTCGTCACTGGTTGTGTTTCAAACAGAAGCCTGCAGTTCCTAGTTGGCATTATTGGCTATGAGAGGTCAAGAGCAAGAGCCACCAGTGCAGTCTTTGGATACTTCAGGATCACTGCTTTACTTGTCTACTGACTTTATTCTAGAAGGGCCTTTGCCTTCTCCATGCTTTCTTGTTAGCGGTATTCCATATTTTCTTGAGAAGTTTAAGCCTCAGCAATCTTGGTAAGAGGCAGAGAACAGCAAATGACATGCGCCCACTTGCTGCAGTACTGTCCTTCTAAGCCCAGAAAGCTTTACTCAGAGCTCCAGAACACGGGGGCTGTGCAGGAAATGCAATTCACCTAAACTCAGGACACTTAATACCAACAGTTTTAAGCAATGAAGATTAACTTTGGAAACTCAAATTCTGGATTAATAGTATTCCTGCACAGACAAAATAATCATAAGGAGAAACACTGACACCAGAAGATTAAAAGGTCTGTCAATCATGAAAAACAATTTTGCAGTTGGCCTGTAACTTTAGAGAACATTTACCAAAGAACCTCCCATTAACATTTTACACACTGTACTGGTTTTGGCTAGGATGGAGTTCATTTTCTTCACTGCAGTTTATATGGTGCTGTGGTTTAGATGTGTGACCAAAACAGTGTTGATACCACACCAATATTTCAGCTATTGCTAAACAGTGCTTACAGAGCATCAAGATCTTTCTCTGTTTCTCACTCTACACCCCCCACCCCTCCCCAGCAAGTAGGCTGGGGCTGAGCAAGAGGCTGGGAGGGGGACAACACTGGGACAGCTGACCCAAACAGACCAAATAGATATTCCATACCATGGAATGTCATGCTCAGCAATAAAACTGGGGAAGGGGTGGGAGTGTAGGTTTTTTTTTTCAAAAGCAGGCATTGCTCAGACACTGGCTAGGCATCGGTCTGCTAGTTGGAGGTGGTGATGCCTTTGCATCGCTTGGTGAGGGTTTTTTCCTCCTTTATTTATTAAACTGTCTTTACCTCAAACCCATGAATTTTCTAGTTTTTGCCATTCACATTGTATTCTCAATTCTTCTAGGGGCTGGGGGAGTGAGTGAGCAACTGGACGGGGGCTTAGCCGCTGGCCAGCGTCAACCCACTACACACACATGACACTACTTCAAATTTAGAGTCATAGAATCATTTAGGTTGGAAAAGACCTTTAAGACCATTGAGCCCAACTGTTTACCTACTGCTGCGAAGTCCACCACTAAACCATGTCCCGAAGTGCCACATTTACACGTCTTTTAAACCTGCAGGGATGGTGATTCAACCACTTCCCTGGACAGCCTGTTCCAATGCTTGATAACCCTTTTGGTGAAGAAATTTTTCCTAACATCCAATCTAAACTTCCCCTGGTGCAACTTGAGCCTGTTTCCTCTTGTCCTATCGCTTGCTACCTGGGAAAAAAGAGACTGACTCCCACCTCGCTACAACCTCCTTTCAGGTAGTTGTATAGAGCAATAAGGTCTCCCCTGAGCCTCCTTTTCTCCAGGCTAAACAACCCCAGTTCCCTCAGCTGCTCCTCATGAGACTTGTTCTCTAGACTCTTCCCTAGCTTCGTTGCCCGACTCTGGACACGCTCCAGCGCCTCAATGTCTTTCTTGTAGTGAAGGGCGCAAAAACGTAAGGGCTCTATTTCCAGATGACAGATCCGTTTGTAGTAACAGATAAACCATTTTCTTTCCAAAAAAGGAAAATACCGCCAGGAGGCAGGAACACGGGAACAGCTAAGCTCATCAAGAACCAAAACCCTCTCCTTCCCTTTCCCCTCTTTAAGACAATACTGGGAAAACGAGGCAGAGGGGTCTTTGCAATAGGGCTCCCGAAAAGCCGACACGGGGCTCCTG